GACGCCGGATCTCCGCCCACCCCTTTGAGTGCCCTCCGCAGCTCCTGCCGGGAGGTGCCAGGCCCCTCACGACCTCTGCCCTTAGAGATGCCCCCAGGCGGCCAGAGGGACCGAGAAGATGGCCCGGGGCGGCTGGTCTGCGGCAAGGTCTTCCCGCCAAGGCCTCTGCCGCTGGGCCTCCCGGCAGGATCCAAGCCCCAGCTGTGCCACCGAGCCCTCGGTTACTCCTCCCAGACGGACGGGAGTTCCCAGAGGATGGAGGATGCTTTTGGGGACCCCCCGGGCCCTCCCCTGGAGGAGCAGGCAGGAAGTCAAGCCCCCCAGCCCGGCGGGGAGGCTGGGCAGATTCTCGACAGCCTGCCCAGCGAAGCACCCCAAAGGCTTTCCGAGGGCGGGCACGGCGAGAAGGAGATGTGCTCCGTGGCCCCATCTTTCCCGGCCTTCCTGGCTTCGTCCAGCCGGTCCTGCCAGACCTCGCCCACCTGCCCGTCCGCCTTCGAGGACGAAGGCTACCCCAAGGCCTCCTCGGGGCTGCCAGTCTTTGGGTCTCTGGGCTACCCTGGCCCCGATGCCCGCAGCGGGAACTACCAGTGCCGCCTGCAGGCGCTGAACTTCTGCGTCAACGACCACAGCTATGGCGCAGCCTTGGACCACCTCTTGGCCGGACCCCCAGCGGCCGCAGCCTCTTCAGCGCCAGCCCTCCAGCCAGCCCCCTTCACGCACCTCCTGGGGGAGCAGGAGACTTGGGCTGGGGGGCCCTTCTCCCTCCCTGGGGGCAACGGGTACCCTCTGGGCCTCCCCCACTGCCTCTACAGGACCCCAGGCATGTTTTTCTTTGAGGGATAGGATGGAGGGGAGGGGGTTAGGGTTCGGAAAAGGGTTTAGGGGCCTTTTAAAAACCAGAAGTCTCAAAATCCCCTAAGAGACTAGGAAAGTAACTTTTCCAGACTATGGGCTGTGGCTTGGCATTCGCGATTCGCTTACGGACTCCTGCCGTGAACAGTTGGAAAGGACGATGAGAAAGAAACTGCCACTCCTCTTTCTGATTTCCTCCAGATAAAAAACGTGACACGCTCCTTGCTGGATAGGACCAAGCGTTTTATTTGCATAGACATATGTGTGCCTTATTTAATTCCCTTTATCGGAGGCTTTCAAATAGGGTTCGCGCTGCCCTCGGTCAGGGATTCTCGAACTCAGGATTTCCTGCATCAGCGATCGGGTAGGACTCGGATGGCTCTCGGGGGGTCCCCCTTCCAACTTGACGGGTCGGTGATTCCAGTGTTTTGATTTGAGACTAGCCAGGTAAATGCACTTCTGTGCAGACCCCGTTGCTCTGCTGGAAGAGAGCAAAACATTTGCTAGGGAAGGTGGAAGCTGAAAGCCATGTTTGGGAAAAGTAGAAAAAGTCAGAAGTGAAAACTTCAGCTCACAAAGGAGGGCCAAATCCTGGCCAGCCTCCGATTTCAGCTAAATAACCGCAGGACACGCTGGTCAGTAACTTGCTTGGTGGGCAGGCACTTTTTCTACCTGGTGTGGCCGAGCTCTTTGGCAGCAACTGTTGTGAACCGCTGGCATGTCCTTTTGACTAGAGAGAGTAAAATCGAGGGGATCAAAATAGCGCTAGTTGGTTTCAACTATGTTGTTTTCTTCTAGAAAAATTGTTTTTTTTAAAAAACAAAACTGAACCAAAAACATTGGAACCCTTAAAAACAGGGTACTTAGCACATGACCCGAGGTTGCCCAATACACAATTCTTATGCCAGTGTACTGTATTCAAATAGTGTGACTGCAGATCAGCCTAGCTGTGTTATTTATTGAAATTTGTTCCAGACCACTTCCCTCTGCAAGGGGGAGGGCACCAGTTGGCATAGATCAGTGGGTCCTCCTTACTTTGGGTGACCCAGGTTTTCTTGGACTCCAGTTCCCAGAAGCCTTCACTGCCAGCTGTGTTTCTGGGAGTTGCAGTCCAAGAACACCTGGGTCAGCCCAGGTTGGCAACCCCTGGCGTTGATGCTTCCTGGGGATTTAAATGCCACCTCCTAAGCATGAACCATCTAACGTCTGTGCCACACTGTTTTCCAGAGGTCAGCCTTTACCTTTTTTTTTAAGGCAAACACTCTTCACATGCTCAGAATCAGATGCGCGCGCGCTCTCTCTCTCTCTGAGGACCCGAAAACCACTCATAATAAAAATCAGCTGCCTTTCCCCCAGCCTTTTCGCTTCCGGTATTTGACATCTCTCCCTTGGCATGGCTGACTTTATGCGTGGGATGGGTTCGTGGCGGGGAAACCGCCCAGTGGGACTGGCGCTTGGGCAGATGGCCGTGGTGGAACTCCAGAGAACCCAGTTTTCCCCAAATCTCTGGGCTGGCAGATTTGGGGTGGGGTGCGGGGGGGGGCTGAACCCCATGTGAGCATGTTTAAGCAAGAGGGAGGGAAGGATGGCTTTTTCCCACCACCTGGCCAAAAAATGGGATGTCCTGCCTTTCTTACCATCAAGGCAGATGTGAGCCTGGCCTGGAACGGCAAGCGAAGTGTCTACTCGCCCCGGACAATGCCATGCGTGTATGTTTGGGGGGGGAAGGGGGGGTGTCCCTCTGTCAAAAGGATTCCTCTTGTTCCCGGAGCTCAGGAATGGCTACAGGACAGGACCCCCACCCAGCCAGAGGTCCCCTGGGGTGGTGGCCTCGCCTGCATCCCCTTCAGAAGATGATTGAAGAGTTAAAGAGACCCTTTCGTGTGCGGATCCTGGCCAGCTGGGGGCTGAAGGGGCAGGGGCCCGTTTGCTGGCTTGTTAAAACCATCGGGCGTCTCAAGGAGGGAAAAAGCCCCAGAGAGGGAAGGAACCGGGTTCCCGAAACCCTAAAAGGAGGGGTGCCGGAGAACAGAGGGCAAAGGTCACCTGGAGGGATTGGCGTCCCCGTCTCTTTTTACCCAGGAAAAGAACCTCTTAAAAATCGGTGTGACAGGATTTCCAGTGCATGCAGAGCTGTCTTTTTCCTCGCGCCTGTCATCAGGAAAGCACCAGCCATGGAAGAGGGTTAGGTGTGTGTCCGTGTTGTAATTAGCGTCACATACAGACTGGGTTTTGAAGATCTTATTCCTTGGTCATTCCTATGGGGTGGGTGTGCGTGTGTGCCCAGTGCGGTGTGTCGTGGACAGAGTGACCGACTGGCGAGACCTGAGTTCGAATCCCTGCTCAGCCATGGACACTCACTCAGGGTAGGCAGAATTGGTTCTGTGCCCTGATGAGACTCACACAAACTTGGGGGGGGGGGCTGCAAGCCAGAGTAAGGCCACTTCCGGCAGCTGCACAGTTCCTTTTTTTCCTTTACTTGCATGGTTCCCATCCATGCCCTCCCTAGCAGTGTGGGCAAACTGTGCACTTTGCCACTGGCCGTTGGCTTGCTGGGGCAATCGCTGCCGAGCGAATTGCCCCCTTTTTTTAGGTGGCTGAGGAACACCAAGGACTGGGAGCCATAAAGAAGGAGGAGAGGCAGGATTGATCCTCCTTCAGAAGACGGTGAGTGACTCAGAAGAGGCAGCTTGTGGTTCAAGACGCCACCCGTCGGTATCTGGATAGCCAGATGGAGAGAGTCCACGGGCAGGAAATGTGTTGGCTGGCGCTTTCCGTCTCCTTTCTTCCTCAGAGACATCAGATCTGACTTAAGTCCGCTTGACAGAGTCCGTCGCCTGGCTCAAAGGAAGCCGGCGCATCCCAAACAAAGCGGGTTAGCCATGCCAAAGCCCATTCAGCCGTGGGCGTGGGGGTGTGCGCACATGAGCATTGTGGGACATTCAAACGATGCACTGTCTTGTAAGCGGCTGTTTGAGTGTTGCGTTGACTTCGGAGAGGTCTGAGTTCAAATCCTTGCTTAGCCACATAGGATGATTGTAGGCTGATGGGGGGTGGGCAGCCTCTCTCTTTCCTCTCTCCTTCCTACCTTCATTGGCAATTTGAGTGCGCTAAATGACAGCAGGGATGGGGAACATCCTTCGCTTCCAGAATTAACCCCCCAATGGTTGTGAAAGCTAATGGTCTGGGTGAGGTGAGGCTGGGTCCAAATTAGGAAACGCGGGGGAGCTTCGGACTAAAACCCTCAGAGGTCCAAAAGAAACCCAGGATCTCCGAACTTTTGATTGGGGCATTTACTTTTGCGATGTGAGCAAAATGTGTCTGGGGTGAGGAATGAGAGAGAAGGAGAGCATGTTCTGACCAAGCTTGGATGTCTTCCCTCAGGGCCAAAATCTCCTGATAGACACTCCGATTGATTGAGCAGCAGGGCAGATTCAATGGGGAAATCCCTCTTTGGAAGGAAGTGATGACCCAAATAGAGGATCATCCCCAGGGAGAGGGGTGGTCATCCGGGGTTCCTTGGCCATGCCTGGTTTCCTGCACGACTGTCTGCCCAGCGTGGGCCATGGAGTTTGTTAGTTGGTGCCTCTCCCACCCCTCCAGCTTTTCGGGTGCCTCTGAGCTCCTCCTGGCCTCCTCCTGCTTGGAACGGGTGCCAGCCCTTTCCCTTTCTCACGCCATCTCGGATCTTTCCAGTCCGAACCCAGCATCCTCCCCTCGACCCCTTGACCGGGTGTCAGCTTAGCTGTTCTGTGACGGTCAAGCCACTTCCAGAAGCGGGGTGTGTGTGCGGTGGCTCTCGGAAGGAGAAGCTCACCAACCCATGGAGTCGTGCTGCGTGAGCCTGGCGCACCATCCTTGGGGAGTGCGACCAGCAGGAAGGTGGTGAGAGGTGCCCCAACGGGACGGAAGCGCCGGCCTTCGCAAAGAAGGCTATCCACGTTGAGGCCAAGGGCTACAGGTCCCTCGATGGCTTTGCTGGGTCACC